ATAAAAAAGCCAGTTGAGGGCACACTTCATCAAAATATCTCAGGTTTAGAAGTAACAACACTGGACAAACAAGAAAAAAAAGGTCACTAAAACAAGAAATGAAAAATAAAAGCTTTCAAAAACCAGAAAACAAAATTACATCAAAATCATACTCTGCTATGATTAAAGAAAGGACAAACCACATCAACCACCAGCACCACTAGCATGCAAATCAACGACCACTGTAAACAGATTTTTTTTCTTCACTATTTTGTGCCTTTTGACGTTGGTTTTCATTGTTGAAGACCAAAGGTGAAGCTCAAAACTTGAACAGAACAGACATGAGACTATCAGATGTAAATGATTACAGATAAAAACAGGAATAAAGAAAAAGACGAATAGTCAATGAAGCAGCTTCCAGCTCACTTACCTCATGTTTTTCTATTTCCTTCTTCCATGTAGCAGCATTCCAGAAGTCAACTCCCCTTTCTCCCCAGTACATGCCCACTTTCAAATCAGTATGCATTTCCACAGCTCCAGCTTGCTAGTAATCATGGAGAACAACAGCAATATAAAAGAAAAATAAAGTCACATTTCTGAATTTCACCTTCAGTATTTGCATCTAACCACCTCAAAATTTAGAATTAACATTAAACTTGTGCAGGAAACCCCATTCATTGTCTTCTTTTTTAAATATTGGTGAAACTCTGGCTTCAATCTCAATTCACTAACTTTCTAAAATTTCATTATGTAATTCAAAAGGAAAGTACAACACACAAAATGTTTACTCTAGTATCCAAAAAAACCTGCAAATTTCATTGCATTACTCTGGCGTTTTTAAGCATTTGATGGAACTCTGGCTTTAATACCAATTTGCTAAGTTTCTATAATTGCATTTTGTAACTTAAAAAAATAGTTGAGACTGCACATGAAGTTTTTACTTGAAAAACCCGCAAGTTCATTACATTACTAAAGTTTGACTGCGAAATAGAATATTTTTCAAATTTAGATTTAGCAACAATATCTAGCATTTCCAAACACATCTCCTGTATTTAAAAAGCTCCATAGTAGATACATAAGGTATGTTGCATTTGACCCGGAAGGTTACAGACACATCCCATCTTCACCAGCAACTCCTAACATCTCCAATATTTAGTCCAATTATTATAAATTTCAGCAGCAGTGAAACGAAACCTGTAATTTGAATTGTTATACTGTCGCTGAGTAAATAGATTAACATAAATTCCCAAAACATAGGCACACATATGCAGAAGAGAAAAGGAGTGTAAAGTGGCATACTTGGCGAACCAGAACGACTTGAGGAACCAGGAAAACAGCAATAAAATGTGAAGGCTTGCGAAGAAGATAAGCGTAACTGCGAAGTAGCATGATGGCGATCAAAGTCTTTCCAGAACCAGTCTCCAAAAACACAATTGTGTTATGCTTTAGCGCCTTCTCCAAAGCCTCCAATTGATAACTGTTAAAAGAAAATGTAACCCAACACAAAAAATCATTAAAAAAAGAAAAAACAGAATCTCTGTATAGAAATCACAAACTGCATATAAAAGAATAACCAGTGACCCGTTCATTGTTTGAAGAAAACAAAACGCAAACACCCCCCCCCTCATTTGAGACGTTCTCTAAACAACCAAACAGTGGGGAGGAAGAAATCAAGGAATCACCTTCTAGCAAATGGGAGAGGATCCGCAGGGAGTTGCTGGGTGGTATCTATATCCATGCTAACAGGCTCCATCACTGCTCAATGCAACTCAGAAGGCAACAAAAATTGATTAAAAAGAGAACCCGTCTCTTAAAAAAAAACATGATCGAGATGAAAATCCAAACAAAATGACTAAACAAGAAGTAAGGAGGACCAAAACCCAATCAGTAATAATAATTAAAAAAAAAACATAAAACTCAACTCTCTGGCTCACTTACCAGCTGATTAAGAAGGAGAAGCCAGATGATCGCTTCAAGTAAATACTAAATAGAGAGACTATAGAGACAGAAAAACAGTGAGTTAGCAATGCAATGCATTGCGATTGCAATTCTCCAAGTGGGTGTTATATAGAGAAAACTTAAGAGGAAAGGGTTGCGGCAGTAAGTGAGTGAGTGAGGAGTGATGCTTTTCTGGTTTGGTTGCCTATGCGAGGAGGTAACTTCTCAGAGAAGGTGCCAGCCAATCAGTGTACTGCAGAGTATAGCAGACCCCCAAAAGAAAATTAAAAAAAAGGAGTGCAGGAAATTAAAAATTAAAAAAAGGGGTTACTTCAATGAAAATTGAATTTTTGCTTACTTGTGGGAAATTTTTCAAGCAGACCCGTATATTAAGCGAGTGGCTGGCTTCGCGTGTGTTGTTTTGGTTACCTAGTTAAGTAGTGGCAGTGGTTTGGTCATGGACCTCGTGGCTCATACATTACGTGTCTCTGTCTCTCTCTACTCTCTACCGTCTGCTGCTGCCCGGAATTCGCTCTTTTGCGACGTTTTGGTGTTTTGGATATGCATGCACACGTCTCTTTAGGTTAATCCAGTTGTATTTTTCCCATTATTATGCTCCCCCTCGTAATCACCGCTTGGGATTTTACAATCTTACAATTTAATGCACAGCTTATATGTTGAATATCACATCTACGATTCCGTCAGTCACAGATGATCTACTTCTAAACTATTGGATTTCTATTAGTTTTACTTCATAAACAGTCATGAGGCTTTGAATATACGAACATTAACCAGGATGATGATACGCGGCAAGTCTATTTGAAAATTAAATTGTAAGAAGAAAAAGGAAAGAAAACAAAATCACGTCAATTAATGGCATTCCTTTCTGGGCATGTCATCTGTGTAACTACATGATTGTCCATGTCCACGGTCCGATACCTGAAAACATGTTCGAGCATTTCGCCACGAGGAAGTGCAAGCTCTGTAGACACAACTTCGTTGCTCGTGATGGACTTCCTGAACGACCATGGATTGTTGGGGTTGGTGTGTTGCGAGCAGCCACTGTATCTTCTTCAGCTTTGGCGGGCAAAGAGAATTGTAATAGAAAGTCTACCTCGTGGTGGCCATGATGAAGATGGACAGGGTTCTGGTGAAAATCAAGCACGGGGGGTTTTAGGTATGTATTATGTGCAATGAATCTGCCTTTGCTTATAAGGAAATCAGAGATCTTACTCGCCTTTTTCGTTGCTCGAATGTAGCCACCCTTTCTATGATCGTGAAACGAATTCATTCCAATCTCCGGAGGATGACCATTCCCACGGTGAGATATAAAATTGAGACCGGTGATCATGAAGGTACTAGATTCCTTTCTTATTCAGACATTGTTAATTTTCTGAAACTCGGAATTGTCATCAATCCATCGGCATTGATTGATTTTTATACTTACCAGCTCTGGAATAGAAATCCAATTATCACCTGTCACTGTTTTTAATATAGTTGTGTATTGATAGATGTAAAAATATACAAAGCGGGATGCTTGTTTGGCATGAATGTGAAATATTTTACAATAAAACATTCCACGTATAAGTTTAGTATTTCACAATATCTAGTAAATGTTGATGTGAGTAGTAAGATGAGGGTACGGGGATGAAGGGGAGGAGGTTGTTGGAACGGTGGTGGTGATGATGGTACGGCAGTCGCGGCAGTGAAGAGGAGGCGGCGGCGGTTAAAACAGCACTGGATGATGCTATGAATCCATTAATATATACATAATATATCACATAGCTCTGAAAACTAAAATGAAATCCAGTTAATTATAAAATAACTTGAACTGACCATTGTTACATAAATAAATAATTTTTATCATTTTCCTTTTTACAAGTGTCATGTGGCAGGCACTAAATGCCGTGTTTTGTCGTGATAGCAAAGCAACAAATGTTCACAGTTCATGAATACCTAGTTATTAAATGAAGATCCATTTTTCATAGATTATATATGTATTTGTAAAACAAAAACAAAAAAAAAAAGGGAATACACACATCACCCGATCGAGACAGACAGACGCCACCACTTCCGCTGACATATTTGTGACAGAATTCACCCTCGTTCGCAAAAGTAGTGTATCAGCAGCACCTTGTTCGCGATCAACTACAGGGAATGCAAAACCCATCTTAGAAGTTCAATGCCTGAAACTTCAAGCGAGCGAAAAAAATCATTTTTTTATGATTTTGAAAGGATTTCAATCAGACATGGAAGATCAGATCGTGAAAACAGGTGATTAGAACCTTGTTCGTCGTTTTAATAATTTTATTTTAATTTTTTTTTTTTACATATTAGTTACAAAAGTAAAATTTAAAAAATAAAAATATTTATTATTTTAATATATTTTTAAATAAAAATTACTTTAAAAAATCAAATGTTATTACAATGTCAAATGCACAACAAGCCTAGTGCTCTAGTTTTTTGTATATAGTATTTTTTTTCTTAGTAAAAACTCATGATTTTCATATTAAAAAGATGTTTGTTTATGGAATAGTTTTTATTTTTAAAACAAATTGTATATACAATGTATTTGATTAATATTAAAATTTAATTTATTATCTATGAAACTTATTTTCCTCGAATCTCCTTGATTTAAACCTTCACAGTAGCATCAAGCATCTGTACCGGTAATTTGATAGGAGCACAGCACGGATCATCCTCGGCTTTTTCTGTACACTCTACGCTCGAGGATTTCTCAATCTTGGACTTCGCATCTTTAAGCGACTTGACGTCGTGTTTCGTGTTAAAGGTATCAAGAAAATGACCTCAACTAATTTCTTCCAAAAAATCAAGATTATAAAATAAAATATTAATTGTATTTAGCGAGAAACAATTTTGATGGATTCGTTTCCCCTAAAATGCATCAACTAGAATTGTTTCAGTGTATTTAACACCACGGGCCTCGATCCAACATCGGCGTATTCATGGGCCTAGTGAGCAAAAGAGCTTGATAAAGTGATGTAGGCCCATACACGAGTACAGAAAAATCACGGACAAAATGGAAAAAACAAAAACGAGCGGGGGTACGTATGGAAATGAAAAAAAGATAAAACTAGGGTTTAGAAGCATTTCACCCGGACACACATCTACTGCCGCCGTCCAGTGCTGCTGCTCTCTGAGGCGTCTTCAGGAGAAGTAAGAGGAAGCGGACGATAAAACGCAAAAATGGTAAATCTGTTGTGATCTCGTTTTGCTTACTGTCTGTTTCTTCGCATATAATAAGAACTGCCTGGAAAACTGTCCCTGTCCATCGTTACAGATGTGTGTAGACTATTGCTGTTTTCAGTAGCCTCAATGGTGACATCCCCTCCATCCGGGCTCTATATGTATTCCTTTCTTCTTACAAGCAGATTAGAAGTGCAATACTAATGTTTTTGCTTTGCTGTTGCTTGTAATACGATGTTGTTTGGTTTTGTGGTGATTATGTTGTATCAGCTAGACATTGGAAAATAAATAAAAAATTAGAGTTTAATCCATATGTCAGGGACTCTAGTTTTGATGGTTAAC